ACAACAAAGTAAAAACTTTCCAGGCCCGGATGCTTCATCTCAAGGAATCTAATATTGCATATCCTTGAAAATCGTTTTAAAATGGTTTCTGAATTGTCTGCTGCATGGAAAGAGCGCGATTACGCCAAAATGAATAGGCTGTTGACAGTTGCAAAAATTAATATCTAGTGATGAAAGACAAAATTGGATTAGTGCTTGTTGAGGCTCATATACTAATATTGATTGCCATTAAACTTCAGAACGTGGTATATCCTTATTCACAATGCAAAACATGGACTTTCAAGCAGCATATTGACCCTCAGAGACAACTGTTGTCACATTTTGCACTCCATCCAACGATCGTCACCGCCATATTGAAGTCTATTGTACAATCACAGACAATCCTTTTACTCATCGAATGGACAGGTTTTTTCCCAGTGAGCGCTTTGTCTGTGCGAGGAAAAGTTTCGGTGAAATAGCGATTACTGATCAGCCTAGTCACATATGAAATTTTATGGAAATGCTGTTGCAAGACCAGATGTTGTCTTCATATTACCCTTGTTTTTACTGCGTTAACTGAAATGACTGTTTGACACATACTTAGCTCGGTTGCTAGCAATATCTATAGTCATTATCAAAAAGAAAAACAATGAAGTAATTTATAAATAAAAAACGAGTCGCGTGCCTTCATAATGCAATAATATACACGATGGGAGAAGTAGATGGGCGTACCTGAGTGTTACAAATTTCTCCTGTGCAATTCAATGCTATATTTGGTACTCGAATTAACCTATTGACACTGCTTCAACGAATATGTTTATTCCGTGGTGTGTTTGAATTATGTCCAAAAACCTATGTCATGTTTCTATTTCGATTTTAACAACAAACTGGAAACTTTGTAGACCACAATGGTATTCGAAATCCTTGAAAATGTATTCTGAATTCTCGGGTGGAAACTGGAAAAAGCACGAATACGCCAATTTGAATAGGCTGTTGATACTTGCATTTTGCTTTTTTATTTGCGTTTTGCGGGTTAAATTTAGCGCGAAACGAAACTAACACAGTGCTGGAACCATTGACAACCTGAAACCTGAAAATATACCAATAAAAACATGATTCTGGATGCTTTTACTTCCGCTTAGAACTTCGTCGCCGTAACTCACTGCAGATATCTACGTAGGTCAGTGGTCGGGTATTTTAGCATAACTTTTGCTTATATTAATGATGTTATTGTATGAAATATGTTTGTTGTCTTTTGCAAAGATTACGTTTAATCTGATTCGTTTTTTATTTTCACAAAAATGCGACAGGTTTTTATTCACTAGTTACTTAATTGATATATTTTCTTCAGGAGATTATTAAGATTAAGTTTGTGGAGGTGGTACTTCTTCAATCACAATACGAGACACTGCCTTCCGCCAACCAGTATGACCATCCCCGATATTATAACCCACACACTTGCCTATCCAGAACGCCACGCGTACGTGACCTTTAGGAACCTGGTCGCAGTATCCTTCGACATGACGGGGACGATGAGGGTTGATTGGGGTTGTTCCAACATAAACAATCCCTTCAATAGTCGCTGGTTTTACACATTCTGCGCCATCAAATGTAAAATACCAACGATTGCAGACACTACTGCCATAGGATCGGAATGTTCCTTCGTAAAACACACGGAGTGAGGTGTTGTCGTATTTCTTGTTGAAAGTACAGTTCTATTTGGGAAAAAATAATAAAATTGCATATTTTACATTGAATCTGGTGCGGTTTTAAAGGATGAAGACATCTTTTTAAGACTTAACCGAATTTGAAATTCCATCTAATAAGTTTTAAATGGCATTTTATATAAGACACGATTAGATATTTGTTGTGTTGCAAACCAAAATGACGATGTTTAAAAGAAGTCTCATGGGATTTATTCAATTTACTTTTTATTAGCTGCCGTCGTTGACAAAACTTCGTATCCTCTTTAATTCCTACCTGAATCCAAATCTAAATCCTTGGTCTTAATCCTAATCTTCGTGGCATAGACCAGAATAATTCTTATAGTCGTATTACCTGAATCAAGCCGGTGTCTTTGCCATCATCCGTTGTCCAAACACATTGTTTCCAATTTGATTTCGCACAGTCTACGTAATCGAAATCTTTAGCTCCAGGTTCTCTTTTTGATCCAGGCTCCCCAGGCTTTCCCGGAATCCCTATCGGTCCAGGCTTTCCCGGAATTCCTATCGGTCCAGGCTTTCCCGGAATCCCTATCGGTCCAGGCTTTCCCGGAATCCCTATCGGTCCAGACTTTCCCATCTCTCCAGGTTCCCCTTTATCTCCAGACAACCCTTTCGATCCAGACCTTCCTGGACTCCCAGGCGCTCCCGTCATTCCAGGCTCCCCTTTCCCTCCGAACTCCCCTTTTTCGCCAGGATTTCCAGATATCCCCATCCGTCCACGATCCCCTTTCCTTCCAAGCTCTCCTTTCACTCCAGACTCCCCTTTCTCTCCGGACTTCCCTTTTTGGCCAGGTGCTCCATGTATCCCCCTCCCTCCACGTACCCCCGACCAACCACGATCCCCTTTCCTTCCAAGCTCTCCTTTCACTCCAGGCTCGCCTTTCACTCCAGGCTCCCCTTTCTCTCCGGATTTCCCTTTTTGGCCAGGTCCTCCAGGTATCCCCTTCGCTCCAGATATCCCCATCCAGCCACGATCCCCTTTCCTTCCAGGCACCCCTTTCTCTCCGAACTCCCCTTTTTCTCCAGGTAACCCAGGTTTCCCTGGTGTATCATCACATCGATAGTGTGGACAAGGTCTACGATAGTCATATACCTTACTCTAGCAACCAATAAACATGTATTTAATTGTAGTGTCATTGTCAGGTATTTAATCAGATTGTCACGGGTTGGGATAATACTAACCGAATAATTTCTACCGAAATTGTAGCATAGGGAATAGATAAACAGTGTTAGCATATGAACACTGTTGAATGACACGCGAAGAAAGCATTTTAAAAGTTTAATTTAAACAAGCATAGCCCCATCAAAGATAAAATATTCTATTCGTAAGTCTTAAGATAAACGTCTCTTTTGTTGGACTGCAATATGATTATGGTAGACTAATTTGATGGCACTTAAGGCGAGTAGCTGTTTCAATAATATTCTTTCAAAATGTGTTACCTTCACGCTCTCGATCACACAAACAAGTAGAAAGATAATCAGGAACTTTGTCTTCATTTTGAACAATTTCATCAATTTCCAGCCGAGTTTTTCTTTCAAAGACCCGTCTGCCCTCAGGACAACCTGTATATTTATATACGTGTACCATTTGAATGAACTCCATATGATATTACGTTTCGACTCAATCAATGTCATATGAAAATTTCGAAATCCTGCTGATTAACATGTGGTTTTCATCACTGTGTTGACCTTTGAAAAGAAAATAATTTATTGAATGTTACCTTGACGAAAAGAATGCATTGAATGGCGCCACTGTGGCGCATCTCACAAAATCGTCTGACGCTTTTGATCGAACGCATTTGCTCGATTTATGCTAGAGACGGATCATCCGTCTGGACGAACTTGGGCGAGCAAAAGATAGTTCGTCTTCTAGTTCGTCTCGGTGTAAACACGGGAAAACAGACGAATCATCCGTCAACGCGAATTATCCGCATAGTTACGAATTTGAACAGTAGTTCCTCTGGACGTATCCTCACCGGGAGGGGGCGAACTACGAAAAATTCATTATATTTTGGTGTTAATGAAATTTTTACCTGAAAAACTCACTACTTCATATTCGTGCATTTCAAGACTCAAATCTTCAGTGCAAGACACATTTTGTTGAGCATTTATAAACGTTTTTAGCGTAAAGTATTTATAAACGTATATTTATAAACGTCTGTCTGTATTATCAGGCCCCGATGATGGCATCCCAGTGGTTGGTAGCCTGCTGATCAAATAACACTTACTACTGAGTTAACCTTGAACGAGCTGGGGCCGGTTGTATAAAACTCTTAACTACATTTTGAGTAGTTAAATCGTAGTTAACTAGAAAATCATACGACTCTGATTGGCTAATTTTGCCACTAACTATAGTTAAAAGTTAACTACCTTTTTATTCAACCGGCTCCTGGTCTAGGTGCATTAAAGAGCACCGGATATGCTGAAATGAAACAAGTAGTATGGAAAATGTGTTTCGTGTGGATATTATATGGATTTTAAATTTCACAGATTCCACATTTTTTGTTTTCATATTATAGTGAACAGATGTTCTAGCAAAACGTAACGCTAAAACTGTTCTTAGATTTCGGTAAGCCGTCGAATAACCAAAAGGTTGTTCATATTGTCTTGCAAATGAAGAATGCTCGAGCCAGGCATTTACCTTTTCCACACAGCTTCATAAATAACTGGAGTGGAAAATTCTGTCCTTCCGTTCCCCGCGAAGCGCATGCGTATTTCTTGCATGAAAACACTAGATTATAATGTGTGTCTATGCATACTTAAAGTTACTGCTGCGCATCGGTTCTGCTCATAACAATGAGTAGTCTACTTGTTTCAAATTGCTCAAATTTCGCTTGTTTCGTATATATCTGAACATAAACTCTCTCTTTCATTCATTTAGAAGTAGGGCGAACTAAGGCGTCTAAAATGTTCTGAAAACTCTCGATATTCTAGGAAATAGACCCTTTGCACATGACGTCACTGTTAATTGCCATCTGGAGGGCAAATTTAATTTCCAAATGACGTAAATTTGGGTAAAATGCAAAAATATTAACTAGTGAAAAGACTTTGCTTTGTTATAACTGTTTTTGTCTGCCAAATGAACCTTTACCGCTTGCATAACAATTTTTTTTAGTGATGCAAGTTTGTTTCTGTAGGACAAACCCTTAGCTACTATGACGTCAGTGCAATGGGTCTATATACGGATCAATTTACATTACAGACCGTACCGTTCCCTTTGGTGTGCGCCTGCGAGAATTGGCGATCTGGAAACGAAAGATAGTTGCTTATATTGATTGAGACTTTATTTTTGTATAGGTTGAACCGGGCTCCACGGTAGGCGTGTGGGGACTGGGTGCCATCGGCCTCGCTGTCATCATGGGATGTAAGATGATTGGCGCGTCAAGAATTATCGGTGTTGACATCAATCCTGAGAAGTTCTCTATTGGTAAGATTTAGGGATATGTGTGTACGATAATGTACATCGCAGAAATACAAAGTATAAAAAATTGTGACGGTCGGTGACAGAGGAATACGGTATCTTAGACCAGGCTGCTGAATTAAGCATTGCAAAGCAGTAAGTACTAGACTAGTCAGGCTAGTATTAGTAGCAACAGTCAACACTCAGTCAGACTAGCAGTACTACATTGATCAACTGACATTGAGGAAGGTTGAAAGTAAAACACTGAATAAAACATTGCAAAGCCGTAAGTACTAGACTAGTCAGGCTAGTATTAGTAGCAACAGTCAACACTCAGTCAGACTAGCAGTACTGCAATGATCAACTGACATTGAGTGAGGTTGAAAGTAAAACACTGAATGAAATATTGCAAAGCCGTAAGTACTAGACTAGTCAGGCTAGTATTAGTAGCAACAGTTAACACTCAGTCAGACTAGCAGTACTGCAATGATCAACTGACATTGAGGAAGGTTGAAAGTGAAACATTGAATAAAACATTGCAAAGCCGTAAGTACTAGACTAGTCAGGCTATATAACATGATAGTATATTGTTTTGTATCTTCATGCCTTGAAATGAAATGCGATATGTTGTTTTATTCTGCTGAAAATAAATTCATTATTCTCAGAAGTATTTATTTCGAAGTGTATAAGAATGACGTTGTTTTCCAGGTAAAGAGTTTGGTGCCACCGAATGTATTAATCCGTTGGACTACAACAAACCAATTAATGAGGTAATTCAAGAGTTGTTTTCATTTCCACTTTTATTTCAGTCTTATTTCAGTCTTTGTATGAACCTGGACTGAAGGGTCAAAGGCGGGGGGAGGAGGGGTGTAGTGGGGCCAGAGCTGGAAAAGAGACAGCGGAAGAGGTGCATTAAAACGGTTTAAAGGCCTGCTGATTTGTATAACGTCTAAAGTTTCTAAGATCTCGTTAATCCTTAGTTTCTGTGTTCGAAAAGTCGATAGATCAAATATTTTTATCGATCTTTATGTCACAAGATCAATGAATGATATTCTTAAGTTGAAAGCTTTGACAACGGTCATCTTCCTTTCGAAACCAGGTTCTTTCCGAGATGACCGGCGGAGGACTGGACTACACTTTCGAATGTATTGGAAATGTCAAGACCATGGTATGTTACATAGCAGTATACTTGATGTTAGTCGGCATGTATATGTTTTTATCTCTTTCGACATACGGTTCCTTACGGCTGATGGGAGGGTGGGAGTGTTTTTTCTGCCGAGTCTTTTAGACAAAAATTGTTTGTTTGGAAAAATGAATTTAAAAAAGGCATTTTGTCCAGATGTGAATACAAGAGGCGATTGTATGAAATATACTTTTGAAAGTTAAGCTACAGTAAACGAAAAATTTGGGTAATCGCGAATTTTGAAATTAGCTGCGATTTGATTACCCAAAATTTAAATACCATTAAAGTATTTAAATACTCGTAATTTTTATACAATTGGCCTCTGGGATACAGATTTTGTGAAGCAATTCAATGAAATGCCTAAAATATACTGAAAATCGTTTTATATAATAACCACAATCAAACACGCAATTTGATTGGTTCGTAGGCGTGCAGTATGAGACAATCCTGCACGGAAAGTTTACAATGCCGCTTAGCGCGGGAAATTTGACCGTCGTTTCGTTGTAGTTATTTTATAAAGAAAATACTAAATGGTTTTCCGTGCAGGATTGCGTGATACTGCACTTGGGAAATTGCTCGACTTTCGGAAAGCGTGAAAAAGTACTCGAAAACCATTTAGTATTCCTTTATTGACGTTTCGATTGAAGCGTCAGAAGCGTTAAGGCGATCCTGAAAAACACAGCGCGCCCGCGAGTGCGAATGTAATGACATTCGCACTCGCGGGCGCGCTGTGTTTTTCAGGCCCGTCACGATCGCGTGGGCAAATTTTAAGCCGCTTCGCCCGGCGGTAACGCAGAATCGCCTTTAGAAAGATGCGCACGAAAGCGCGTGTTTTGTAGAAGTACGAAACACGTGTTATTAATTAAACAGCTGAAGATCAGGACAAAAGAAATATGCGATGAATGGTGACGATTTGATCGAAGTAGAACCGTCTAGCAAGCTTTGCAAATGGCGAATAGCGAAAAGCTTTTCCCCTGTCATTCAAACAGATACAATATGTGTACGTGCTGAACATCCTCTTACTAAACACCGAGGTCTGATGTTTCACAATACAGATCGAACAAGCGAGGTCAATGTTTTTATATGCTGCTTTTATTATGTCCTTACTGACGACTAATTATTGGTAATATTTGAACAATCACAAGAAATATTACCAGGAAATAAAACTACGATATTTATCATTAATGTTTATCTTCCAATCAAGTATGAAATATGATATGAGAAGCAGATGCGGGCTTACTCAATATTCCAAGGTTCGTCTGCTTGGCGTTTGCCATTGCTGTCACAACCAATAGGGTTACATTGAAATTCCAATAGTGCATTCTTGAACTCCTTGCAATCAATTCCACCACTGCCGTCCTCGTCAACAAAGTTGAGAATGGCGGTCGCGTCTTTTACTGACAAGCTTGTGGTCTTCATGAGCTCATCCAAGCTGATTGATCCATCATCGTCGCGGTCGTACTTTGTGAAATCGCAGGGGAAACCGACTTCGACTTGAACTTTGGGCGGGGAAACAGACCGTTTGCGGCCGCAGTAATGCCAGTCGGTGTGACAAAGCAGCACTTTCGTTGTATAACGCGTATTTGTACAGTTGTCGCAACACGGTGCTGTAACGATCAAGTTTTTTATGCCACACCTTTTATCCCAGCACCATCCCGCAGACCCCATGTGTACTGCAACTAGCATAATCAAAATTACGAGTTCAAGCTTCATCGTTTTTCTCTCTAAGCAAAAAGACAAAAAATCCATTTGTTTACGGAACATATAACGTATACGTGCATGAAAGTAATTTAGAGCATGTGATTAATATGAACCCGTTAACATTCTTTCTTAACCCTGCATGAAATAAAGACCTTGACGCGTAGTAATAACACTGCGTGCATGCATATGGCTTATATGCCGAAAAAATATATATGCAGTGAAGTCATCGCAAAAAATTTAGACGCTACAGCAACCGTCGTGGAAGCAAATTCATTGCTTCTTGTTTTAACTACCAGGAGAAAGAACGTAGAAAATGCAGTACAAAAGTTGCATGAGAACCATTGATAATAACGTCGTACCTTAATCTTTTTACTTGAAGTAGCCAAGATTTGATTTGAAATCTTCGATTTGCTGCGTGTCTTCTGTCTTGAAAATTTTGTGATCATCTCAAGCCAAAGCCACTGTTTTATACTCTAGGATATACGATAATGAAAAAATGAAATGCACACGTGACTTCACTCTGACCAATCAATTCTTAGTATTGAAATTACCAGCAAGGACAAAAGAATGCCTTCCTCTTCAACAGCTTCCTCTTCAAAACTCTTCACTTTATCCTTATTGAGTGTAAATATGCTTTTCCAGAAGAATTCAACTGTTCTTTTTAATCCAAAATCTGCCAGTCAGTTGATTTAAAGTATTTGTTTGATTAAAGTATTTGTGGGATTTTACGTTGTAATGAGAAAGCTGCATATGGCAAATTCCTTGCCTATTTCTGATCTAAATTAAATAATCTAAATAGAATAAATGGACTAAATAAATTGAATTTTCATAAACTTACCTAACTATTTTCATAAATAAATTTTCATAAACTTACCTATTTTCATAAACATACCTTGTTGTGTCATTTTATGAATGTTTGAATCACTAGATTAAATATTCAGCTGAAAATATCGTGTGCTTTCGCATGCATTATAATTGAGAGTAAAAGCGCTTTCCTTTAGCGGTGAAACCGGTCGTACTTTGAATTTTGTAGAGTATTTTAAGAATATAAACAGCATTTTTCTTGCGTTTTTGAAACACTGTGAAGTACAAGCAATCTGACTGTACTAATAAAATACAACTGGACCGATCTGGCCACATAAAGAAAAGCGCATAGTTAGAGACAGAGACGAGAAACATCGAGACAAAGCATAGTTCATAGCTATTTTCGTAAACATACCTATTTTCATAAACATACCTTGTTGTGTCATTTTATGATAATTTTATGAATGTTTAATTTACCGATGCTAATTACTAAATTAGATATATAAGCCTGATACTGCTCGATATAGGTGGTGTGTATACTGCGTATTGCAATTGCATACGTATGTATGAAACGTGTGATGGCTTAAAGTTGAAATAAAAATTTTGAAGTTCGTATGAAACGAAGGGAACGTACATATCTATTTTCAAAAACATACACAACAGTGGGACTCGTTATTTACCAGTAATAAAATTCAGCTATATAGAGGTTATTTAGGGCCCGTTTCAGACGTCGAACTTTTTCATGTAAATGGAATGAAGTTAAACAAAGACTTTAGCTCATTAACATTAGGTTCGGCGCATGGAAAGTTCGACGTCTGAAACAGGCCTAAGAAATGGCATTCCTTAGGCGTTTGAAACATCTGCAAACTAGTCGTTTTTGGCACATGTTGGGTGTTGAAGTAATGAACGATGTGATTATTGCATGGTGTGACGCTTGTGTGGTTTAGACCAATCTTCGTAAACTTCAAGAATATTTTTACTACTTTTCGTTTGATATAAAACATTCTTGATGTGGGCATTGTCTGTAATGCCAAATCACACGATAGTTTCAGTTCAAAATTTAATCTTGTTAAGCACTGTTTACATTCTACCAGACAGGAATTTACATCCGTTATTTGGAAAATCTAGGCTAATCAAAATATCATATGATTTGGTGATAATATCTTTGTTATTTTAGTTATTTCATATTTTTCATGTCCCATCCCTGGCATCACATCCGCGAGAGATTTCATCATTTCGACAAGCATCCACCATTTTCTAAAAAAAATTACATATTTCACCATCTTTCACTTTGGCATAAACAACTCGCCGCCATTTTGAGAATTTCGCATAGGCGTCATAAGGCGTAACAATCCGAGGTCGCTCGACCAATCAGAGGCCAGAGATTTCAATAATGACCTTCGTAATTATACTAAAATATTGTATTCATTTTTCATATGTAATCATCTATACACATAATCATCTATAATATGAGAGAGGGACAATTCCAGATAACAATATACATTTATCATAGTCATCAATCCATGGATTAGATAAACGCTTACCAGTGCATTTGTGGGAACCTAAATCGTCGTATTTTAAACGACGTCCGGCGGAATGCTAAGATCACATCTGTTGAATTTAACCGTCATGTAACTGTCAAAATTAAGTCAATATATTTTGAAATACTAGATTTAAATATTTAGCTGAAAATATCGTGTGCTTTGGCATGCATTGAGAGTAAAAGCGCTTTCCTTTAACGGCGAAACCGGCCGTACTTTGAATTTTGTAGAGTATTTTGAGGATATAAACTGCATTTTTCTTGCTAGGCAGATTTAAAAAGACACATGCTTGAATGCAGGGTTTTTGAAACACTGTGAAGTGCAAGCAATCTGACTGTACTAATAAAATACAACTGGACCGATCTGCATGGCCACATAAAAGAAAGCGCATAGTTATGCCTAGTTTCCATTCAGTCGTTAGCTGTCGTTAGATGTCTTTCCGTGTCTTTGGAATAATCGTGAAAGACCGATAACGAATAATGGGAAGAATCATGTCGTTTCCTGTCTTTTTATGTCGTTGAGATAGGATTTGTTCTATCCGAGCGACACAGTCGTTTTCTGTTTCTCTCAGTCGTTACCGGTCTTTCACGATTATTCTAAAGACACGGAGATACATGTAATGACAGCTAACGACTGAATGGAAAAAGCCACAGACAAAGCATAGTTCAACGCTTTTGAAACCTGCATTTATTGAGGTATACAATTTCTTCGACTACTTGTGATACGAGAGATCGGATAAAATTCATGGGTTCGTATTTCTAAGCTGGTGAAAGTGTCGCGACATTCCGTATATCGTGTCGTCGCGTATCTGCTTTCCACTGTCGCGTTTTTTTACGCACAGAAAAATTGAAATGCCCTAAATTTCTATTGTTTAACATCAAGGTCAACAAATGCAAACTAAAATACGCGGAAAACTAAGTTTTTTCAATTTATTCCCCTAGCTTTTTCGACTATGACATGCATGTATAAGGATTTAGGCATTTTTACTGTCGTTTGAAGTGCAGAAGTCTTCGTATGAATGCCAAAAAATATTTTACCATTAATTTCGAATTGTTTAAATACACGACACAGCATTCGTACGATTTCGTCATCTTTCATGAGAGAAGCTTCATAATTCTTGAAACTATATGTATGCACCTTCATTCTCACATAATAAGCGAGTACACTTGCAATGCAATTCTACTGAGGCATCTAAAGTTGTCAAATACGAACATTTCTTATACGATCTGCTAACGTTTTCTTACCATTTCAAACGCTCTTTGCAAATTAACATCAGTCAAAATTATACTTGCATTGCAAGTTGTAAGGAAAATTGCATAGTGTAACAGCACCTTAACGGAAGTCGAGTCGCCTATTAGCTTACTTAGAAATCAAGAAATTCTCATCACCGTCACACAAATCTTCGCAGATTTCATAAGTATTTTCCTACGAAATCATTTGAGTACATGCATACATACAATAGTTTCAGCTCAAATATTTAATCTAGTTAAGCACTGTTTACACTCCTCAAGGCATACAGAAATCTGCGTGCGAAATTTGGGAAATCGTGACGTATCAAGTGTCGTATGACTTCTCGATAATAGCTAATTTTCATATTTTTGATGTCCCCGACACAAAATTTCATTATTTCAACACGCGACATTTAATCAGTTAGTAGGTTTTTCAAAGACCTAACGTAATACTTTCTGGATTGCGTCGCTGCATGGTATAGCTAAATTAATGTCTTTTGCATGTCTATAATAGTCTAGGTATATATACATAATATTCTTATAACCCGTTTGGCTTAAATGGTGCATAGATAAGTCAAAATTAAATAACACGCATACATCTCTCTTGAATGAGTCAACTTGAATATTATGCATTGAATATGTAGTTGTAAACATTCGAAAGATTTGCTTTCTTTTTTGAACTCAACCACCGTTTAAGCTTGATACAACCGGCCCCTGGCCTTTTGCGAGTTTGAATCAATTCAGACCAGCTTCTCAGAAGTGCTTATCTTTCAACGTAATACCTATTTCAAAATATAAGAATAACAATATTTATATGATTCCAGAAGTAAACTATATGTAAGGTTAATTAGTTAGTTAGATTCGTGAAAATATTATATTCGGATGCTGCAGGCTTGCAAAATACCTAAGGAGTCTCTATTTCGTTAAAATGATAAAATTATGTTAGGTGACTGTCAGGTTGGATGGCAAGAATAAATATTAAACTGACACTAGGCCTATTGTGTGTTTTTGCTTTGGAGATAATGTTCATGATGGTATATTGATGTTTATTGTCATAGAAAAACACGGTAGAATGGTATTGAAGCCAACTGGAATTTGTTAAGTGCAGTTTCGCACCTTATACAATAGAAAAATTTATTTAATTATGTACTGTTTATACAAGAGTACAGGACACTTTGTTTGTTTCTCGGGTTTTTCCGCCACTTATCGTGTCGTGTCGTGTCGTCGTGTGAATGATGTTTATCATGCACTTGTATACCACTGTTTACATTAGGAATGACTTGGTTTTGCAATAAGATATGATATGAATAATTGATTTTAAACTGTTTATATAGTCAACGATGTTTAAGTTTCATCGTGCAATATTCTGCGATATAAAAACAACGTTGTAAACGTCATCCACCATGGAGTAGGAGCCTAACCAACGTCGTTTTGAAGGCAAACGAATTTCAATTGTGTCCACGGCACAAGTACCAGACAGAATGAAAATATTTCGCCGTAAATAATGCGGAAATACACAACTTTATGACGTTGTGGCGTTTCATCACGTCATTCATTTTGTCGTTCGACTAATATACTCTGTTCACACTGAGGCTGTTTGTAAATACATTTTCTTCAGTTACTCGAGTTCTTTCCATTTCGATTTGTTGTTGAACTTGCCCTTAGTGTAGTATTAACACTAGACGACGAAATTTGGACTGCATTATGTCAAAATATAGAGGCATATCGTATAGAAAAGGATAATTAGGTAAGCATTTCCATAGCGCGGGCACCAACAACAACTGGCTTATCATTAAAGAAATTGTCCGTTTCATTGAAAAATTTTAGTGCTCTTATTTGAGGGAAACTATCCTCATGGAAACCTTATGGT